GACGTCTGATTTCTTTTTAAAAAATGCGTTTCTAAAGTGCATAAACTTTTGGGATTGACTGTACAGCCAATACATCCTTAATATGGAGAAATTCTATCGAAAAAGAGAAGTAAATGTGGCCGAAAGTAATTGACTATTCTTAAAATTTATAAGCAGGCTTCCTTCTAAGCCATGCGGCTTACATATAATTCAGTTTTCCACCTCTGTTTTAACTGAAGCGGAGATAACTGCACTTTTAATATACCTACAAGGGAAAAACGAGCGGAAGAATCGATGAAATTCGTTGCTAGGCGTTATACGTAGTGACGAGTTATAGGAACGAGAATGTATCGTTCGATTCGATGGGAAATTCGTTCAGCCGGTAGCTGTTAGCGGTAAAGTAAACCTTTCTCGACAAAATATTTTTAGGCGAATAGCTGCAGGCCGTTTTATGAACGCGAGCGCGCATCGGCTTTCAATACGGCATGCCAATGATGGTTAACTTCCTCGATGTAGCTAATTCCAAGAGGCACCGCTGAACCGTGTCTTTAAATGAAACAAAACATTCAATGAAGATAAAGCGCGTGTTACGTACGTGCAAATTAAGCTATACCGACGAACGTGTACGAAACGAAGCAATTTACATTCCCGGCGCCAAAATTAATACCGCTGGAGGGTTGAATTAAATAAACTCGTTAATTCGACGTGGCGCCAACGATGAACGAGCCGGGGCTCCTCTGGCCATGGCCAGATTACATCGCAACGAAAAAAGAACCGTGCCAACACGACACGCGAAACTCTTTTATCCGTGGAAACGCGAGATCTCGCGTGATTCTCATCGCTGGTAACCAATTACACGGTTACTAGGGGGAAAAAATGTGAAAAAAATTCATCGACGCGTTTTCATTTTCTCTTCCTGTTCCTCTTCATTTTTCTTCCTTTCCGTTTCGAAAGCTTCCGCTCGGTAACGACGAAACGAAATTTTCGTTCGACAGTTCAGTAAACTTGATTTTCGGCTCCTTTAGTTCGACTACCGACATCGGCGGAAGTTGCAGCGGGTAGGTACACTCCGCTCCGTTTCGCTTGTTGCGATACGTGACCGAAGTACCGGATGACGGTTGAGAGGAGGATAAGCGCGATTTTCTTACGAACCTATTTGCCTTTCTCCCTTCGAAATTTCGATCATTCCGTCTAAACGTTCCACGCTCCCTCTCTCTCTTTCTCTGTCTCTTTCTCTCTCTCTCTCTATCTATCTCTCTCAACGATTGGTGGATTAGTTATCGTGAGCATGTTTAACCAAAATTTCGTTGAACGTGATCTCGTGAGGGTGGAAAATTAAAATAGCTAAAGTGAAACGCATGCTATGGCACACCGATGTTACTCAGTATTTAAGTTAAGCGTTCGCTATAATTTCAGTGTAATAAAATTAGTGTTCGCGATAATTTCTGGGCGTGAATATAGTAAATATTATCTTATAATTGTAATACTTTTTACCATTGTAATAATACGTATATAATAATAGAGATGACGAGATAGTGGACACTGTAACCAAATTAGCTAATGAAATGTTATCTTCTGACTCGTTACTGATACAGATTTATATGGAAATGTTTTATACTCTATTCTATTTCCTATGCTAAAAATTTCACCATCCTGTGATATCTCACTCACTGACTCATACCTGCTTTTATCTTTTACTCGAACTCTGTTCTAGCTGTATCATTCTGGAATCTTGTTCTCACCACATTATTCTGAAACTTTAATCCTGATATTGCTGTCCTTACAAATCCCACCATTCAAACCCCCGGAATCCATGTTTTACTCCGCTTTCTCTCAATACTGAGCATTTTGTTCTTGAATTTCTTCACGACACCCTCACAGGATGTAATTCTAGTCTACAGACCTGCCTGTCTCACCTCGTTAACACTAGAAAGACTGAAACTTAGTAT